CTCTCCTGCCCTCTCTACTAAAAGAAAAGCAATACCTCTACAAATACTTACTTGTACTTGAGCAGGTCTCCTCAGCAGAGTGGACTGCCGCGTCAAAGTCATTCCTCCGTCTACACAGCGTCCTGCGCTATACTTGGCGGCGGTCCTGTAGAAATACGAGGGTTAAGATTAAGCTATAATCGTTATTTTTCTCTCCCTCTTTAGTCTATGAACAAGGAAAGGAATACAACTACCACTACGAGGGCGATGTCCGTTCCGGCATTCCCCAGACCAGCGACAAGTACTCCGGCATGAGGATCGAGTCCGATGTGCGCCTGCAGTTCAAGACCGACCAGGAAGTCCTGATGCGTCTGGAGAACATCAAGTTCAAGTCCCTCCGCGGCGAGCTCGAGTCTCCCGAGGAGCGCGAGCTCAGGCGTCTCACCAAGGACGACTCCGAGGAGAAGGTACTCTCACTTTCCACTTCAATTTCACCTGCAAGCCGGTCTACAAGACGTGACGTACAATCTTTTCTATTTGAAAATTTGAACAGAGATGGCAATGGCCTTTGTACAGAACCTCGTTCAACCTGATCCAGCATCTTTCTCATAAACCATTCATTCATTCGTTCGTTCATTCATTCATTCATTCATTCATTCGTTCGTTCGTTCATTCGTTAGTTCATTCATTCATTCATTCATGAATTCATTCCTGTCTCGACCTGAACATTGTCCAGTACAACGTTGACGCAAATTTGCCTACAGACTCGTTCTTTTCATTCTTACACTCATCCGTCCCTTCACTCATTCCTTCCCTCTATCCCCGCAGATCCCCGAGCAGCGCCAGCGCACCGCCTTCCACGAGGAGTTCTACGGCAGCAGCGAGTTCGAGCGCCTGTCCCTGGACTCCGAGGAGCGTCTGACTCAGGAGGAGCGCCGCGAGGAGCGCCTTCGCCAGCAGCTCAAGGAGAAGTAAGAACTTTCACTTTTCACTTTCACTTAGAAGGTTGTGTTCTTGGGCCCGTGTGTCTGTCTTTGAAGCTTGAGCAGCCTTACTGAAAAAAGTCGTGTATCCATCTTAATGATGGTATGTTTGTGAACAGAAGTTGATTTTTGCCCCTTTGCGGCCCCGTGGTAGTGCAACGAAGCTTCCGATTTAAGAACCACAATACAATCTTCAAAAACTGCCTTGCTTTTGAAAACCACCAGCTCTTGTTGTTAAAAATGTTTTCGTGACTCACTCTGTTGTTGTACTGTACATGGGTTTCGTGCCAAGGCCTGGCACGAAGGTAAGACTGACAGTACGCCAGATGTGCACAGAAAAGAAACACGTTGTTTAATATCTCTCTTCCTTCTTTTTTTCTGCCATCACCAGGAAGAACAGGAAGTCCTCCACCGAGGAGGAGTCCCGCAGCCAGTACGAGCCTTCCCGCGAGCTTTCCGAGGAGGTGAGATTATTAATGAAACACTTTTGTTAGCCAGTGTCCTCACTATGAGACTGACAAAAACAGATTATTCCAGACAGTTACCACAATTTCTCCATACTTTCAACATTTAGAAGATCACCAAAAGACTATGTTCCTACTAAGATCACAAAGCCCACTAATTATGCAGAATGTGGGACTAATCATTATCCACTGCCTTAAAAGAAGAAGTCAAACCTCATAATAGCTAGCGTAGTAGCAGAAATATATGTTTTTCCAGACAAGTAGTTTTCAGTCTACTATTATTGTATTGTGCCGAATAGTGTCTTTGACTGTGAAAGCAATTAGCCTTTCCTCAATTGTAATACATGTATGTATATATGAATGTAATGTGTAGACCACAGGAAGAATAGCCTCTTATGAGGCTAATTGTGGATCTAAATAAAACTTAAACAAATAAACCACGAGATTATTAGTAATAATGGTAACTTATCTTTTAATCTAAAAAAAAAAAAAACTAGGTTTCCGGCACTCCCATGCATGCCTACGTAACTTTCAATTGTCATTTTATTTTGTGAGTGCAAAACAATAAATAACCAAACAAACAAATAAACCCCAGGTTGACGAGAACTTATATTTCTACTACTACGCTAGCTATTATGAGGTCTGACTTATTCTTTGAAGGCAGTGGATAATGAATGTTTAGATGTTGTATTCTTTGATGTGATAAGTTTTTATCATGTATTGTATCGCTAATGATACAGAATATACATTGTATGTAGGCTTTTATCTATTTGTAATAACTGGATGCAAGTTGTAAATACTCGACATGTTTTATGCACTTAAAGTGATATGCCAGTCGCAATTCAATAAAATCTGAATCTGAATAAACCCCAGGTTGACGAGAACGACAAACTGATGAAGGAGCTCCGTCGCCAGCTTGAGAAGCCCGTGCTGGTCCGCTACGTCAAGGGCAACGTCACCGAGATCCAGGCCCAGAAGGACGAGCCCCAGGAGTCCGTCAACATCAAGCGTGGTATCCTTATGATGATCCAGGTACGGCCTGATTCTTTGTTTGTTTGTTTGTTGTTTATCTGCATCGTAGTATCTGCAACACTCCTTGAAACACTCCTGGAATCAACCATCCCATTTTGGCTGCAGATGTAAAACAGAGTTTGTTTCTGCGTTTCTGTCCAGTTCACAAAATTCGTCTGCAACCTATCCTGACGTTCATTTAAGAAAAGATGAAGTGGCAATTATTGTCTGTACCACTCACCGATTTCTTGCCACCTACAAAAAGCGTTGTCAGTGGGATCTGGATGTCTAACTTTCATCGACGCAAATAGAATAGATTTTGAAAACGACCAGACAGTGATACCTCATTACCAAGATGTCTGACGTTCGTCGACGCATCTTTATGCTGTTCTTTCCTTTCTTACCAGGCAACTAGAATAGATTTCAAAACGACCAAATGTTCCAGGTAGTGTCGTCAGTGGTATCTGATTGTCTAACTTGCATTAACGCATGTTTAAGTTGTTCTTTCCGTTCCTTTTGTCCCCCACAGGTCACCATGGACCCCAAGAACGTCGAGACCCTTGACAAGGACAAGAAGGACAAGAGCCAGTCCAACCGCGCCTACGACAAGTCCACCGAGAAGCTCTTCCGCATCATGGAGCAGGGCGTCAGCGGCGACTGCGAGACCCAGGTACGACATGCAACATAGCTTCTTCTTCCTTGTAATGCCCACGTTCATCTTGTGTTGAACATTATGGCATGTTGAGGAGGTCAGAGGTTACTGCATGTGTCTTAATCATTGTCCATAATCATGTCCGTGTACTAAGCGCGAGGTCGTCACCGGTTGTTGTGTAAAACAAACTCAGATCGCAGCCCTCCTAGACACAAAAGTGTCAAGCTTCATTGTTTTATATATTCCAACATTTTTACAAGACATGGTGACGACACACTCAAGTTTTTCAACTTATCTTTTACCAACGTGGACAAACGCATGAACGGGCAACAGACATACTCGATTTCAACGGAGTAAAGTGCCCTTCCCAAGGGCTCCTTATTCCGTTGTGCAACATTATGTTTTATCCTCTGTATTTCTTGTGTAAGAGGTAGTGTCAAAATAAGTCTTAGCTACTTGAGTGTGTTACCACTTTGTGCTGTACCATCTTGCATAATGTGTGAACAATAAAAAATTAAAAGATTTGGCAACCTTCAGCTGACCCAGTCTCTGTCCTTCCTTTCAGTACGACATCCGCGAGTCCCGTCTGCAGGACAAGCTGACCGAGGTCACCAAGACCAAGGACTTCCGCAACTGCCGCCAGAGGGCCGAGAAGCTGTTCTCTCTCGTCTCCGCCAAGAAGATCGATGATGTAAGTCTTTAACTTCTTACTAGAACGTCTTAAGGATTAAGACTAACTTCTTCGTCTCTGCCAAGGAGATCGAGGTAGTCTTATCTATTCTTACTGGTCTGTAACTTCTCACTAGACATTCTCAAAGGATTAAGCAACCCGTCTTAAAGTTAGACTCTCTCGTCTCCACCAAGAAGATCCAGAACCAGAACTTCTCATTGGACTTTAACTTCTTTCTAGAACCTAGAACATCTTAAAGATCGCCTTCGTCTCTTGTCAAGAAGACCAAGAGCGTAAATATTTTCTTGCTAGGCATTCTTAATGAATTCCGCAATTCTCCTTGAAAAGTAAGACATACAAAAGACGTCAATCTAGAGTCAGCATACTATACTGTAACACATTGTTTGGCGTTCAGGCAAGAATTTGCCATAAACTTTCATTGTCATAATATGTCTATGCTTCTCGCCAGTTGAGGTAACGTCTCATGTCTCCCTTCCCCTACAGGAGCGCAAGGAGCGTAAGGAGGACAAGCTTGAGTCCACCTCCGTGACCCGCATGCTGGTGATCAGCGACAAGCTGCGCAGCGACAAGTTCCTCATCCAGGAGTCCGAGATCCGCTCCCAGCACGTCTTCCAGCCTTACAACAAGGAGGGCGGCGAGGTCGTCACCTTCTCCAAGTAAGTCGCAGACATCTTCTTATGGTTACGGAGGAAGTTTTCAAGAGACCTGCACGTTCATGCAAAATTTTCCTATTCGGTTATGTATTGACATTTGAATACTGTAAGCAAAGACTTTCATTCAGCCACTGTCACCCACTCATTCATTCATTCATTCATTCATTCACTCCTCCCATCCATCCATCCATCCTCCATCCATCCATCGATCCATCCTACCTCCCTCCCTCCCTCCATCTATCCATTCATGCATCAATTCATTCAACCATCCATCAACTCACTCACTCACTCACTCACTCACTCATCCCCTCCTTCCTTACTTCTACCACCCACAGGCAGACCCTGAAGCTGAAGGAGGCTAAGCAGATCTCCGAGCGCATGCCGGAGCCCCGTGAGCCCGAGCTGAAGGGCAACCTGAGCTTCGTGTTCCAGAAGGACCAGGACGAGAGCGAGAGGCGCGACTCCCAGGAGGACCGTCGCCAGGAGACCACCCAGGAGAAGAAGGTAGATAATCTGTTTTTTATTACTCACATATATTTATTATTAGACAAAAGCACAGCCTTCTAAAACATAAAACGAGAGTAAAACACAATATATGACAAAATACACACAAAATTTCAAAGTGGGTAAAAGAAAAATGCGTATGAACAAGACAAGTTGGTAATCTATCATCCAGGAGAAGAAGGTAGAGAACTTGTTTATTATGTTTACCGAAGGAAAATAGTATGACAAAAGGGTTAAACGTTCAGACCAACACTGAGTAAATTGGAACTTTTAGATCCCCAAACTTTTTATCCTACGAAGGAAAACATCTTGTTTTTGCTCAGTTTCCTCTTCCTCTTCTTCTCCAAACAGCGACATCAATGACCTGATCCAATGTTGTGTCTGTTACCATGGTAACTGGTGTTGGGTTACATCATGTTGCAATTTTATAGCAGGAGGGATTTAGACTCCTGTCTGACCATATACATGTACATGAACGTGTTCGAGTAAGAATTAACAGAGCAAACCATATGCAAATATAAATGTTACCTTTCCAGTTTGATGATGTATTTCGTTGTATATGTTCAAATTAACAATAACAAAATAAAAAAACTCCACAGGAGAAGATCGAGCGTCTGTCCAAGGAGATCTCCAAGGAGATGAAGCACTCCGTGTCCGAGAAGGCCCCCAGGAAGTTCATCGAGCTGGTCAAGGAGCTGCGTCAGCTCAACGAGCAGCAGATGAAGGAGATCCTCAAGGAGCTCATCACCAAGCCCATCAACCAGGTGAGAAAACACCTGTACACCTGTATCTCTTCAGCGGGTCCACACTGGCAAGAAGACGAAACTTTGTTTTATACTGTCTTATCTTGAAACTCCTCAATGGCGTCCCTGTTTTTAAGAAGAAATGAGGCATTTGGTTGGCAGTTTTCACACGTTTGGTCAAAGGCAATACACCAACTTTCAGATTTATCTTTACTCTCCTAGGGCTCCTTGACTTCCTTCTGTACGGAAAAACTTATTCAATGTTTCACCTTACATGAACTAACAGACTTTCTGGTTTTTCAGGGCGAGCAGAGGAAGCAGCGCCTGACCACCGAGAAGGTTGAGGAGAAGAACCAGACCCGCAAGGTCCTGCTGGACGCCGTGTCCCTGGTCGGCAAGTGGGAGGCTCTCCGCGCCGTCCGCGAGCTCATGGAGCTGAAGAGGATCTCTGAGAGCGAGACCGAGATGCTGCTCACCGGCCTGTCCCTGTCCATCCAGCCCTGCCCCGGAACCACCCGCGAGATGCTCGTACGTAAACACTTGTTTGCTTGTTTGTTTGTATCTATCGCTCGCATGATGCTCATACGTTTGCCTACCGTTAACACCTACAGTTTCTAACACCGGCCCGCCCGCGAGATGCTTGTCAGTAAACACTCGTTTGTTTGTTTGTTTGTTTGTTCGTCCATTTGTTTGTATTGATCACTTTTGTAAGAGGCTTGAGTTTGCCTACCCGTAAAATCATCCCATAAACGTGAAACGTTATGGAAAAGTGAATCAGTTTATAACTCTGATCTTTGATAGTTCGGAACATATCTCCTTACTGAAGTGTGACACGAGTGATGGGTCAAAGGTTTTTAGAAGCCGATATCGTCCCCCGTCCTGCTTTAATGAAAGTTCTTGTGGCTAAGGTAGAGAATTGATAAAAAGAGCTGGGGCTTTAGGTCTCCCTTGTACTGTTGTATGATATCTTATGCATATGTTTCTGTATATCATCTCTCTATATATAAACAAACCACAAGTGTTAAACGAGTCTGTACTTTACCGTTCCCTGCAGGAGACATATATTAGGTCTCCCTTGCACTGTTGTATGATATCTTATGCATATGTTTCTGTATATTATCTCTCTATACATAAACAAACCACAAGTGTTAAACGAGTCTGTTCCTTACCGTTCCCTGCAGGAGATCGCCAAGTCCAGCCGCGCTGAGGAGAGCAAGAAGATCCGCCGCTCCGCCTGGCTGGCCGTCGGCTCCATGGTCAACGGCATGACCTGCAACCAGCAGAAGGAGGGACAGATGCACAAGAAGTGCCCCCAGACCAAGGAAAAGCTGGAGGAGATCAAGAGGGAGTTCTCTCGCGTAAGTACTCTTACGGAATCTTAAAAACGTTCAACAATCCCTCTTCTTAAGTACCCCTTAAGTACCCCTTAAGGATTTTTAAAAATCTTACTCGAGAATGATCCTAGGGATCTTAATACTTCTCTTTTGCATATCTTTTTCCTAAATGATCGCATAGCACTCTTCGTAAAAGCTACCCATCTTCTGAACGAAACTTCAATTCTTTATATTTTTTTATTTTATTTCTTAAAGAAACCTTAAAACTTTCCTAATGATGAGTGAAGCTGTTAACAGAAAACAAGATGCAACACCGAACTTCAAGTAATTAAACCAAACCCTACTACACCATATGTCTTATCGTGATGAATATGTTAACACTTACAAGTCATCTTTAATGAAGTGTCACTTCATTGGCCATCTTTAAGGAGATGTATGTTCCTTGTCCGTTCACAGGAGCTTCTGAAGGGTGTTGAGGAGGAGAAGAGCGAGGAGGAGAAGCTTCTGTTCCTGCGCGCCATCAAGAACGCCGGTCTGGAGCAGTTCCTGGACCGTCTGCAGGAGATCATCTCCGGCAAGGACTCCGAGACCAACACCAAGGAGGTAAGGCTGTTTGACTGTTTGTTTATTTCTGTTAACATACAGTGAGCAATATTCCTCCTAGACTGCATTGCATAGACGTACCATGAAGTACGATAAATGAAACGTAACAAAATTATACATTGAGTAAACAGAAAGTTTGCCAAGGATAATTAAGCGTTGATCATTGTACATATACAAAGGGCAATGAGGTAAATATAGTTTTCAATTTGCGCCTGCAATGAAAATCTCATACAGTCAATGTTTGGAATTTTATAGAATGAAAGATCAGTTGATGAACGTAGAATTAAGGTGAGTTCAAGAAAACAGTCTATAGATACTTGCTACTTAACACTCATGCAATATTTGGTGGCATGTTCTAAAATGAAAGGCCAGTTTATGAATAACGTACCTTCCTCACCAACGCAATGTTCAGAATTAGAGACCAGTAGAAGAATAACGTGTTTTCCTTCCTTACCCTCCCCAGGTCCGCGTCCAGGCCATCGACGCCCTGAGCCGCATCGCCAAGCGCCTGCCGAACAAGGTCCGCCAGATCGCCCTGCGCGTCTTCCAGAACCCCGAGAAGTCCGAGTCCGAGCGCATCCGCGCCTACGAGGTCATGATGAAGACCAAGCCCACCCTGTCCTTCATCGAGCTGATCGCCCAGTCCACCCAGAGGGAGACCTCCAACCAGGTATCTTCTTTCTTTCTTTGTTCTTTCTTTGTTCTTTCATTCCTTTCTTTATTTGTTCGTACACTACATGTACAGATAAAGAAAGGAATGAGGGAGGCATCCGACCGGGTACTTCCTTTCTCCTTCTTTCATTCCTTCCTTTATATGTGCGTACACTGTATGTGCAGATAAAGATAGGAATGAGGGAGACCTCCAACCAGGATCGTCTCTTTACGTCTATTTCCTTCTCTGTTTATTCATTCGTTTATTTGTCTTGAGCGTATCTGTATAGGCCATACTCAAACCTGGGTTACCAACCACCTGTTACAGCGAACCATCACCAGTCCTGTCATTCGTTTCGTTGTAGTTAAGATCTTCTTGTCTGGTGAAACCTACCCCAGTCAACAATCATTTGTCCTTAGCCTTTTGGGTTGTTGTTGAGACCAAGTTTGACTGGGTTCCGTTCTCTGGAAATGTCAAGAAGATATTCCTATTGTCATTGCTAGCATCGAGTTTCACATAACAAAAAAAAAACATGTTCTTAAACCAATTTGGTTCTGTGCCGATGACACCAACATTTGTAGTCTTAATAATTGTTGTGTCTTTTCTTGGCTGGTATAACGTACTAAACTTGTTTTTTTTTTCATGTCCATCCTTAGGTCGGCCAGTACGTGTACACTGACCTGAAGAGCCGCTCCGAGAGCAAGCTGCAGCAGGACAAGAAGATGAGCAAGATGTGCAAGATCGCCCTCCGCCTGGCCAAGCCCTTCAACAAGGGCATCCAGTACTCCGAGAGCCGCAAGTGGCAGATGGTCGATGGTAGGTCAACCCCTTTCTTTTCTTACTCCCGTATTCATTCCTCTTGCATATGATACGAAGACCTAATCAGGTCTGTGAGTTACTTTTTTCAGGGTCTTTCCTGAGACAATTGTTGAGTTTCGTCCATGTTGGTTTTATGTGTGCGTTTCTCCATCACAAGCTTGTAACTTGCTGCTAAAAGCATTTTGTACCTTCAGTTCAACAAGTTTCATTGCCATGAAAATGTTGCCAACACTATTTCACTATTTGATATCTTCCACACAAAACTCACACATCTGATTCGACTCACGCTGTACGGTGGAGTGACGCCCACTGGGCCTCTTGGCTAATGTTTAAAGAGTGATGAGGACACTCATTGATATGGTGACGCCAAGGTGCCAAGAACTTCACATTTCCCACTGTAACTGTTTCCTCCATTCACACACCATGTTCTAAACCTGTCTTCAGGACACTCGCAGATTTGTTGATGCCAGTGTGCCAAGAACTGCACATTTGCCACTAAGAACTGTAATTGTTTTCTTGATTCAAACATCATGTTTTAAAAGTGCCTTCACTGTTGCTCCCTTGTTGTATGTTCTAAACGTGTCTTCACCATTTCTCTTTTACAGAGGAGCTCGACATGGGCGTCTCCCTGGACCTGAAGTCCATCTCCAACAAGAAGTCCATCCTGCCTAAGGACGTGCGCGCCCAGCTGCGTCTGAACACTCTCGGCTACGACATCAAGCTTCTCGAGATCGCCACCCGCGCCGAGGGTCTGCAGACCATGATCGACTCCCTCTTCAACAAGAAGCAGGAGGAGAAGAAGAGCATCTTCGACTACATGATGAAGAAGACCCGCGAGACCAGCGAGGAGTACAGGAGGACCAAGGAGCAGAGGCAGAAGAACGTCGCCGACATCGAGGTCGAGAAGATCCAGCGCAGCGTAGGTGTCACTGCACTTCTCCATTCTCAATCATTCAAACTATAACCTATGTACATATGTGTGGCCTTAAGCCACGTTTGGGGCAGCATTCCTAATTCTACAGCATCTACACTTAGCTGCTTTGTAAAGTAGATCCAGTCAGAACTGAGGAAGGTGACAGACGGCCGTTGTAACTTCGACTTGTAAGACTCCTTGTGAATAAAGAAAATGCCTTCACTAATCTAATCTTTCTCACGAATAAATCTGTGAATTTTTGTTCTTACACACCATCTTTAAACTTGATGAAAAATTGAGGGGCTTGAGTTGACGAGGACGACATTTTTCACTACCCTCACATACTGATACAAACGAGTGTCTAGTTTCATCTTGCTTCCATTGATTGATAGATTATTGATAGATTATTGGTTATTTCTCCAGCTGCCCATCGAGACCCGCCGTGACGAGGAGCCCCGCCTGACCTACTCCATGAAGTGGTCCGACAACGAGGTCTCCTTCCAGGAGTGGAACAAGGAGGAGCTGAAGAAGCTGGTCCGTGAGGGCAAGCTGCCCATGTCCGACCTCGAGGAGCAGGTAAAAGATTTCTCTTTCTTTTTAATTTTTGCCTTTGTTCAAAGAAAATGCAGTCATCTTCAAATTGGGTGAAGCATGATGCTATTTCAAGAAGCTCCTTGTGCAATGCAGCTTCGGTGCACCGCGTTGCACCCTGCTACTATTAAATGCAATGCTGAAGAAAACTTGGACAATTTTTAGTCAGAATGCTACTGAAGAAGAGTAATGGATGCTCCTTGAAAAGTCTCGCAGTTTTTCAAACCTACAAATTTGCATAAGTAATTGTTTTCTTGTGTATCCTATTACCTGGATGTCGAACCTTCATCGACATACCTAGAGGTATAATGTATCATGTGCAATACCGTATGTCGTTGTGACAGCCTCTATGAACCGAAGCTGGGTACTCATTTTCGCATCTTGTCCTCGTTACAGCTCCGCAAGGGCCTGAAGCACCAGATCACCAAGTCCACCTTCCTGTTCGAGGCTTCCCGCCAGATCCCCACCACCCTGGGTCTGCCCCTGCACCTGAACCTGACCTCCGTCCTGGTCCTGAAGTCCAAGACCGAGGGCAAGCTGGAGGTTCTTCCCAAACTGTTCCGCGAGGACCGCCCCACCGAGCAGAAGGAGGTCCGCCGCATCGAGTCTGAGCTCAAGAGCAACCAGACGTGAGTTGGTTATTACATGTACCTACGGCCAGGGGTGGGGGAATTAGCTAGCCACAGGCCACAAAAGGTCGGGGACAGGAAGTTGGTACAAGAGCCTGAGCTCAAGAGCAATCAGATGCGATTTTATGTTACATCTTTAACACCTCTGGTGTGGGAAATTAGCTAACCTCCGACCACAGAAAGCCAGAACCAGACGTGAGTTTTGTTGCACCTCAGGTGGGGGGAGGATTAACTAACTGCAGATAACAAAAGGTCAGGCACAGGAAGTCTGGTGCCACTAGGACTAGTAAGTTTCCTCGACCGTAGTTTTGAGATACCACAGACCAACGAAACACAAACTACTGGCGTGTTTCATACATAAAAACATATTATCTAAAGATTCACGACGAATCTAACACAACGTTTTTTTCCTTCTCCCAATGCAGCATCGTCCTGTACACCGTCGGCAAGATGACCGTGGACTCCCGCGTCCTGAAGTCCGGCGTCGCCATCAACGTCACCCTGAACACCACCCTGCCCGTCAGCGGCAAGCTGTCCATGGACCTCGAGAGCCAGAAGTATGTATGACTGCGTACTATTTACAACAAACCGCTAGGGGGCCCAAACTAATGTCACTTCTTCCCTACCCAAAGAGCTATCTACCGACCAAAATTCGTGACCCTAGCACGTCCATATCGCGAGATATCAAAACCGGAAGTTCTGCTGCAGTACCAACAAAAGCCGCCAGGGGGCCCAGAATCTAATCATTTCTAGGTCTCATCAAGACCTACCCACCTACTAAGTTTCATGACAATGCATATTAAGCTTCTTGAGTTATGCTGTTCACAAACGGACAGACGGACAAACGCTACTGAAAACATAAACACAGTTAAAGCTTAGTCTTTATTTCATAATGACTTGTACCAACACAGATGAAATTTCATGCTAACGCATGGACATTGTTCCACAGGTACAAGTGGACCATGGAGACCCCCAACCAGGAGCGCGAGCTCGTCACCCTGAAGTCCCGCCCCTTCGTCTACACCGAGGAGAAGAAGATCCGTGAGGACCGCGAGCGCCGTGAGCGCGAGGTCACCCGCCGCCAGGAGTTCCTCATCAAGGGCAAGAAGATCCAGAAGCAGCCCACCGAGGTAAGGACAGAAAGACGAGAAGTCTGATACGAGATGCTGTAGTCTCTAGTCCAGACGTAAGCATAAACGGACGTTAGCACAAACAAACTATGGTCTGTTACAAGATAGTCTATAGTCTAGAAAATCCAGAAGCAGCCCACCAAGGTCCATAGCAACTTGAAAAAACAGTTACGGGTTAGAAATTAAAACAAATCAGAACAGAACAAAGCAAAGCTGCCCAACGAGTTAAGGATCAAAGAAACAAGGGTATCTTTTACGAGTTAGTCGAAAAGTAGCGAAAGCTACTACTAACTGAAACGTCTGACCTTTTCCCACTCTATCCATTTGCTTGAGTAACTGTTATCACAGTGTGTGACCGTTGCCATAATCTTCTCTTCTGCAGTACAACCGCACCTTCGGCCGTGAGGAGTTCGGTGTTGAGTTCCGCCTGAACTCCAGCATGGTCTCCCGCCTGAACAAGGAGAAGCGCGCCCCCTTCCAGCCCCTGACCGGCCCCGTCGAGCTGCGTCTGTCCGTCAAGCCCGGCCAGAACAAGCCCGAGAAGATCGAGATTGAGGTTGGTTTGTTTCTTTAATTGTTTCCAATACCAGTTTTCAAGTTCCCTTTACAAGGGTAAAGCATTGGGGACTGCTAGGGATTTAAACCCCAAACCTTTAGATCCTAACTTTCACCCAAAAAGACGTCCCTAGCAGAAGCTAGGTACTCATATTCATCTGACTAGATCGAGGAACCAGGGCACAACACTGGGGCCTGCTAGGAACTCGAACCCAGAATCTTTAGATTCTAAGTCTTACCACCATTGGGATTCGAACCCAGGACCTTTGGATTCTAAGTCTTCCCACCATTGGGATTCGAACTCAGAACCTCTAGCTTCTAACTCTAACCACAATAGGGATTCGAACCTAGAACATCTAGAACATCTAGATTCTACTTCTTACTACAATTGGGATTAGAACCCAGGACCTTTGGATTATAAGTCTTACTACAATTGGGATTCGAACCCAAAACCTTTAGATTCCAAATCTAACCACAATTGGGATTTCACCTGACTCTATTGAGAAACCAGGGCACAGCACTGGGGCCAGCTGGGAATCACCACAATTGGGATTCGAACCGAGAACCTTTAGTTAACCATAGTACCGCCTTGCAGGTTGAGAAGAAGGAGGTCCGCGTGAGCAGCTCTGAGCGTTCTGAGGAGCGCCGTGAGCAGCAGAAGAAGGACCAGCGCTGGGAGATCAACATCCTCGCCAAGCACGAGCGCCAGGACCGCGAGATGAAGATCAAGATCCAGGACAGCCAGGAGAAGGTAAGGTTTCTTTCTCTTCTTCTTCCATTTTTCCATAGTTGCCTGTTACAACGAGTCCCATCGTTTCGCACTCTGGCCAAAGTAACGCGGTCTTGTTTCATGACACAAAACTTTTACATCTACAGCGATGTTTTTTTCACAATACGAAAGTGCAAAGTGCATTTTTCAAAGGCACAACATTCGGGGCCTGTTAGGGATTCGAACCCAGAACCATTAGCATACCACCTCAACAACCCTAATAACCCTGTAAGGGCCTCAATGTTTTATCCAGAACCTTTAGATTCTGAAAGTCAACAGGCCTAACCGCAGCTTTCTGTTCCCCAGCCCTAAATACAAGACCACCTTACCCAATACCCTAACGTTGGGGCCTGCTAACAGTACTAGGGATTTGAACCCAGAACCCTTTGATTCTAAAAAAGCCTATATAGCTAAAGCCTAACGACAACTTTTCTTGCCCAGGTTGAGGAGGACCCCCGCCGCCGCCAGCTGGACTCCCGCGAGCAGAGGATCCCCAAGAAGTTCCTGCTGCGCTCCATCCAGGAGGAGGAGCCCTTCGTGTCCGAGGAGACCCGCGAGCTCCTGAAGGAGTCTCAGAAGGAGCAGACCCGCCGCACCATCGCCGTCCAGATCGAGCGCAAGCGTCTCCAGAACGAGCGCGAGGACGTAAGAAAACTCTCGCTTTTTTGTCCTTTTACTTTCAAGACATGTTTCACTGACGTGAGGGACGTGAGGAAATCTTTCATTTCAGTATCAAATAGAGTAGATTCATTCCTCAGGTTAGCCAACATCTTTGACATTGCAGTTGCACCACAGTAAGATATGTGGAGCTGCATAGTTCCCGTTTAGAACTTTTATTCAGCCTGCCACACAGAGGCCTAAACATTTCCTTTAATAAATCTAATTGCTAAAAGTGGAAAGCAAACTACTACTTTACAATAACCAAACGAATTGGGTACTATAAGAGGAGAGAAAGCCACCTATTTTCGTTCCCATGAATATCAGAAAGTTTTGAGGATTTCTTTGAGATCTCATACCTGTGTTCTCTGTCGTCTTGCTGGGATCTCACACCAGTGTTGTTTGTCCCCCCAGTTCAAGGCCTGCGTCAACATGGAGTTCGAGTACCCGACCTACGCCGACTACCGCCTGGTCCAGGACCGCATCCAGAAGGCCAAGATCGACGCCAAGTGGGGCCGCGACTGCTCCGGCAACGACAAGAAGATGCAGCTGACCGTAAGTTTCAGTTTTAGATATTCTATTCACATTCTGTTAAGTGCAGGTAAAACCGGTAACAAATCTGCACTGAGGGCTGTGAATAAACCAGCCTCAGACACTATGGAGACAAAAACTGGCTTCTAAAAGCTGCCTTATTGGTTTCTTCAAAGTGGCATCATTATCTAAGAAAGCACAAAACGTCAAACATATTTTCCAAAACATTTCAATTTTTGATGAACCAAAAGCCGTGGTAGGATGTTGTAATCTCTCTCCAGGCCAAGTTTGTCTGTAAATGCAGTGATGCTCATCAATTCATTATGCAATGCAACAGCTGAAACACTTAACTCTCTTACTCACCATATTCTTGAACGTCTTCCTCTTGAGACACTTCACCTTCTTCCTTAACCATCTTGGAACGTCTTCCCCCCTGCAGGCCAAGTTCCAGAAGTCCGTCGAGCAGCGCCGCCAGGAGCGCCGTGAGGAGAAGATGTTCGAGCAGGCCCCCAAGGACAGCCAGGAGTGGATCCGCAAGGAGACCGAGCAGGACTTCGAGTCCTTCCTCGAGAGCCTAAGGTACGCGAAAGTAAAGTCTTAAAGCAGTAAATGATACGTCTGAAAGCTTACTACAATTATATTGTAACTTTATACGGAAAATATGGCAAAAAATGAAAGCATGTCGAGCCCCTTTCAAGCTTTAGCTATGCTTGCAAAACTCAGTGTTTATAGTTATCTATATCATTTTTAGCCTTCATCAGCCAAAAAATAACTAGAATTCCAATGGACACTTGACTTTCAAGGCTTGGGAAACTACAAGGAAAACAAGTGTGCCACACGATCCTACGTCACTAATAAAGTTTGATACTCATTTCCATCTGAGTTGAGTGAGGAAATAGGTGTTAAGTGCCTCTCCCAAGTGCACAGCATTGGGCTATCCTAGGGATTCGAACCCAAAACCTTTAGATCCTAACCACCTTGCCCCCCCCCCCCTGCAGCGATGTCTTCACCTTCGGCGAGCGCAGCGTGAGCAGCCGCTCTTCCCGCGAGCAGGAGAGGAGGGACCAGGAGCAGACCGAGAAGAAGCAGGAGTACTACTCCGAGTCTCACTCCGACAAGAAGAGGGAGATCCGCGAGAACGTCCTCAGGTAAAAACGGCTCTCTTTTTCTTTCTCTCTTTCTCCCTCCCTCTCTTTTCTCTCTCTTCATCTTTCCCCTTTCGTCCTCAGGTAAAAAGGCTCTCTTTTTCTTTCTTTCATTCCCTCTCCCCTGCTTTCTTTCCGTCATTCCCAAACGAAAAATGTCCAAGGAAGATTCACGAGAATGTACTCGGGTGAAAACATCACTCATTTTCCCGCTCTCTCTGTCTCCCTCCCTCACCTCTTTCTGTCATTCTCCAACTAGTCTGATTATTTGACTATTGGGGCAACAATAGTCAAATACCAAACGATCTTAACACAGTTGTTTTACACCCTTCTTGGTTTTCTGTTCTTCACAACGTTTCCATGTTGATTCTCAACTCGTATCGCTCTTTTTCTGTCCTTCTCCAACTCTTGCCTTTTTCTGTTACTTTCTCAATGTGAACTTTATAGACCATTTGACATAACGCAATATACAGAATTGACATATACAGAAAATTCACAAAGTGATAAAAAGATATGGCCTACTTACCGATACATAACAAAACGTGTATTCACCGTCTCTCTGTTTTCCCTTCTGCGGGCAGGAAGTACCTCTGTGGTGTTGGATTACATCATGTAGCAAGTTGGAAGGGCTGGTCACCATATGTATAACGTTACATGTATATAACGTTTTGTATGCCTGTGTTTTTACAGGAAGTGCCTGCAGGATCGTCGCCAGGGCCGCAAGTTCCCCCAGAGCTGCCTCAAGGCCATCGAGCAGCGCAGCCAGCTCCGTGAGCTCGAGGTCGAGATCGAGCACCAGAACGTAAGTCCCGTCTCCCTTCTCCTTCCAGATTCCTTTAAGACATTGTAGCTTCGTACGCAGAGCCTGTAATGTCTTCTTACCCATCTGCCATACCTTCTAAGACGTTGTGGTAAGTCTGCAATGTGCTATGATGTAAAAAAATTCAAATATATTTCAAAGACTGACTCTAACAATAAGATGATGGCGTTAGCCTGACTAACTCTAAGACGCGTTCCCGTGTTTGAGCCGAAGTTCAAAAAGTTTAGAAAGGTACCCAACTGCCTAACTCTAAGATGTAGCAATGTTTGAACGCTACTAACTTATGGGATGTTGGCATATTTGAACGAGACTAACTTGCGGTGTCTCCTTAAGCTGTCACCTGAATAAACCAGCTGGTCTCTGACCTCCCCTCTCCTTCTAGATAAGACATTATTAACATGTAAGATGTTGCAATGATTGTACTTGACTAACCTTAAAGACGTTGCGGTGTGTCCTCCTCAGCTCCCCACCTGGATGAAGCAGCTTGTCTCCGACCTGCACAAGCACGTGCAGCACCAGTTCTGGGACCGCGTCTCCGTCAAGGACGTCGATGTCCGCAACGAGATCAACAAGCTCCGCCTCCGCCTCACCGTCGACAAGGACTTCAAGGTACGTACGTCGCCATGGTAACCGGTGATGTGGCAGGCAAACTGTGGTGTTGGGTTACATCATGTAGCAAGTGTTAGCTTACCATGTATATGAATGTATTTGAGTAAGAATAAACGGAAATGTAGTTTGTTAGGCCAGACCATATTCGTACGTTGGACCTGTTGGTTTCTGTTTCTTGAGATCCAAATTTAGTTGAAAGTTTGCCAGCTATTCTTTTAGTGGTCTTGAATTAATACATTTCATATTTTAGAATACATAAACATATAGATGACAATTCATGTAAATCTTGGATATTCTTACAAAAAACAAGAGGAAGCTATCTGTACATTCCAAAGAGTAGACATACGGATCATGTAAATCAAAAGGGAAATGGTACATGGTACACCCAAACACTGACCTTACATGACCCGATCTGTTCTTCCAGGAAATGAACGTGACCATCAAGACCCCCCGCGAGGAGGTCAACATTACCCGCGTCTCCCTGAAGGAGCCCAAGCTCAAGGTCAACCTGCAGAAGGTCCTGAAGACCGAGCTGCCCCTGAAGATGGACCTGTCCCTGCCCGTCCCCCTGCGCTTCCCCAGCACCAAGTATTCCCTCATGCAGGACTACCAGAACAGGCTCCTGAACAAGCAGTACTGGCGTAAGTACCAATCAGTCAATACATCTGTCAATCAATCAATCAATCAATCAATCAATCAATCAATCAATCAATAAGTACCAGAACAGGCTCCTGAACAAGCAGTACTGGCGTAAGTACACATCAGTTAATCAATCAATACATCAATCAATACATCAATCAATATCAATGAATCAATCAATCAATCAATCAGTACCAGAACAGGCTCATTAACGAGCAGTACTTCCGGACACTCACTCACTCACTCATTACTGTCGATTAATGAAGACTTTAGATCATCTATGAGTGCCTAAACAAGCTGATGGATGAAAGGTAGTACCATCGTATGTATGTCCAGCATTGAATCAATCAATCAATCAATCAAATGACCGATAAATGAATCAATAATCGATTATCGTCTACACAGAAATGAAAGTTCCTAGTTCTTCCGAAGAAGCATGTCATATTTACCTGTAGCTGTATGTGTGATGATCTAGAAACTGCAGGTTTACACATTGCTTTTTGCACTAACCATTTTAGCGATTCACTCATTAAACATTTCGCTCTTTCCACCACCAGCTTATTGCAAGGTCGAGCACGACAAGATCAAGACCTTCGACGACGTCGAGTACAAGTACGAGCTGAGCAAGTGCGAGCACATCCTGGCCAAGGACGCCTCCCCCGAGGAGAAGTTCATGGTCCTCATCAGCAAGAAGGAGGAGCAGAAGCCCGAGAACATCCTCAAGGTTTGTTTGTTTGTTTGTTTGTTTATTTGTTTGGGTCGTTGTTTATTATTCTTGAAACACTCAAATCTTGCTGCTGGCCAGTTTTCATTGAGATCATGAGGGAAGAAGGAAAATACAACAGTTAGGATACTTTGTGGGGTTACTCCATACTCTGAAACACATTTTCTATTGGAGTATACATGGAGTATTTGTCTTTGCGTATCTGGAAAAGGCTCTGGAACTACATGGAATAAGTGAAAACCCTTCGCCATCAGAGAATCTTTAAGCAAACTAAGACAGAACCAAGATATAAGACAACATTTTCCTTGACCAAACAGCTGAATTTTGTACGACGCTTGCCCAACTATATCAAGAATGTCCTGACAGTTTGGATCGCACGATGGTCGTGCGCCGTATTTCTCAGAGTCCTGTTGTTCACGATTCCGCGTGTTTGGTGTTTCAGGTCTTCCTGGAGGGCAAGAAGATCGAGCTGCGCACCCGCGAGCAGAGCCGCGAGGAGGAGCGTCGTGAGCGCGAGGAGGAGCACAAGTGGACCAGCGAGGAGGAGAAGGAGCACAAGCACAACCTGGTAAGTTTGTTATACAAAGTAAAAAGTCATGTTAGGGCACAGGGTAAGGGACTTGTCGGCATAACACAGCAATAGGTTCACAGGAGAGTATTATACAAACTATACAGCCTAGTAAGGGATTCAGGCAGCACTGTACTGTGTTATACAAAGTATAGGTTCACAGGACAGTATTATGCAAACTATAAAGCAAGATATCTTCGCAGGAAACATTTTGTTTCTTCTTCTTCTCCAAACACACAAAGTCTGTCACCATGGTAACTGGTGCTGGGTTAAATCATGTTGCAACTTGTAGGACAGAGTTGGAGGGGCTGGTCACCAAGTATACAAAGTCAAGTCAACAGTAAGAATAAACAGAGCAGTAGTTTGTTGGGCGTCAGGCAGAAGTAGTTTTTTCTTTGTGCATTCAAACAAGAACAAATTAACGAAGTGGTTTCATCAGCTTGTAACAAAGTTCTAGCTCTATACCAATGGACTTACATACTGACCTAACGCTTACCTTATCTGGTTGGGAGTAAGGATTAGAGTTGGTTCTTGAAGGCTTTGAAACATCAGTCATAAACACCTATGGGATTTCATACTGACCTGACGCTTGCCTGTTCCCCCGGCAGATCGAGATCACCATGGACGGTCGCGAGGTCGAGGTCCGCCCCGAGCAGCAGATCGTCATCCGCCGCGACCAGAACGACCGCAACAGCGAGAAGCTGTTCACCATCCAGAGGGTCGGCAAGATGGTCAAGATCATCAGCGAGAAGCTCGGCCTCAAGATCAAGCACGACAACCACGCCACCTGGGTCAAGGTAAGGACGTTCTGTTTGTCTTAATTATTAAGTTGTAGTCAAGGAACCACCTTCTTCTCCACTTAAGATGAAGTCAAGGAACCGCCTTGCGAAGTCTTCAGGCCTCTAGGGTTCTGAGCTGAGGAAAAGTCTCGCAGTCCATTACTGTGGTTACATAAACAAAACTAAAGAACAACAAACAACCTGCATCTGCTACGATTTCTTGGAGTAAAATTCTTGTTTTCCAGTTTTTAAACTTATAAGGTTATACTGTAGTATCCAGGAAAGTTGTTTTCATCAATTCCTAAAAATTGTTCATCTAGTTCTCAAACCTCCAAAACAACGTGGACAATGCGTGATAGAAGCATGCACATTGCGTGATCCAAGCGTGCACAATGCGTGATCCTAACGTGCACCATTGCGTGTTTCAGGCCTCCAACAACTTCCGCAGCAAGATGGCCGGTCTGTGCGGCAACTTCGACGGCGAGCAGACCAACGAGTACTCCGGCCCCAGCGAGGAGATCTACAAGTCCCACAAGATGTTCGCTCTGTCCTACCAGGTCCCCAGCAAGCAGTGCGAGACCGAGGGTAAGTTGGTCTAAATTTATGTCAAAGATTTGTGTTGTATAAATGTGCTGTGTTGGAGAGAGTTTGCTGACAGTGCATCTGCAAACTGAGAACATTATTCAGATAGTCTTGCATGTGTTGTAAAAATGACGACAAATGTCTTATTACGGAAAATGCTGACTCAGATCGTTGCTTAAAAATCCAAAGATGAATTTGCAAGGTTAAGAGGACTTCTATATCCTAAATATCATATTCTGCTTTGAAGAGTAAAACTGTTTTAGATTTCCCTGTAAATCCTCGACCTATTTCAACGAACATAATGCCATCCTTGAGCACACTTTCGTGATCCTAAACATTTGTTGTCATCACACCTTAGGCTAGAGGCTGTGGCACAAGATGTAGAACCGTACCCTTACCCATGCAATTTCCTAAACATCTCTCTCCGTCTCCCTTCACCAGGCAAGAAGCTGCCCAAGATGCGTAACGTCATGATCTCCCGCACCAACGAGAACGGCAAGGAGGAGACCTGCTTCTCCAAGACCCCCGTCCCACAGTGCCCCGAGGGCTCCAGGAAGACCAAGACCGAGAAGAGCCAGATGGAGTTCCACTGCCTCTACACCAACCTGGAGAGCACGAAGAAGATGATGAAGGTAAGCACTGACTTCTGTTGCGTTGTATGTTTCATGGGTCTACATACAAGATCATAGGTCCATATGCAAGACCATAGGTCCATATACAAGACCATAGGTCCATATACAAGACCATAGGTCCAAATACAAGACCATAGGTCCATATACATGTACAAGACCATACATGTAGGTCCATATACAAGACCATATACATAACCACAGTAAAGACACGAAAACAGAAATGGCCATGTCTAACATAGTGCCATTCTGCATTCACCTTTTACATCTATTATTACAAGTTACAATTCATAGCAGAGCCCGCTAACCATTTCTCCACACTCTCTGTCTCCCCGCAGCTTCACCAGACGAAGCCCCTGGAGAAGATGATGTCCAAGAAGACCGACCGTGTCCAGGAGATCGAGGCCGAGCTGGAGTGCCGCGAGCAGTAAACTCTTACTGACCCGTCCATCAGCTTACCCACTTCTTCCTAGACATGATCGCTCTCTCTTAGTGTAAAATTGTTAGGACTTTCGACTGTATATTTAGGAGAATTCTATGCAAATAAATAAACGCTGATAATTTTTACACAGTATGTGAAACGTTTTGATAACGACCAGGGTTTTTTTTTCATCATCGGGAAATGATGACATATTGTACACGGACTGTTGTTATAACATGAATGGTGCTCACCTTTCTCAGTTGTCTGTTTTTTCAGGGTTTTGTCTTTTGTTACATACATTTTGAAGCACATTAAAGATCAAGTTATGACGGAAACCATGGTGGCCTCTGGTCTTCTGTCTGTTGTCAGCTTCAGACAACTTTGTTGTAAAGTTATAGAGAGATAGGTATACTCCCCCCACCCCACACACGCAGTGAGAGAAAGAGCGAGAGAGAAAGAAAAAGAGGGAAAGAACGAGTGTGAGATAAAGTGTGTGTGTGTGTGTGTGTGTGTGTGTGTGTGTGTGTGTGTGTGAAAGTGGGGTCATTACAAAGCTAGAAAAGAATAATGACACAGAGAAAGATAGAGAAATACACATAGAGAGAAGGAATGGTCTTCCAGCTCCAAATCTTTAAGCTAAAAACGGTAATAAGACGTAGACGAGTTCAGGTGTGTTTGCAAGCAGGTTCCTAGTTGAGAAAAGATAGTTCATCAAAGTGTAAGATACATAAACATGACTATACTTTGTTGAGGAATGCGTGAAAAGACATGGACCACGGCGCCCTCCTTTACGGACAGAAGGTCACAAGAAATAATAAAAAAAATTGCCAGATTAAGTGTGAGAAACCAACCCCATAGACATGGCCCCGCCCTTCATCTATACATAGATGTTCAAAATGAGTCGCCAAATCAAAGAAGTGGAAACAATTGGTAGGCATGCAGACACTGGAATCTGATTTGATAGAGAGCCAGGATCGGTATTCTGGTCAGTTATTGTATTCAGGACCGTGCCTATCTAAGTTCTATGCCTGAATGGGTTAGGGTTAGGATCGGGTCTGGATAGTCTCCGTGTATCCAAGACTATAGATTTGCCTCAGACACGGTTCTTGAACTTAATGAGAACTATGCCTGTGCATGCTGCATTAAACATCAGTCTTGCAGGACATAGGTCAGCTGAACTGGACATGGGGCTTTGCTGTATCATTGAGTAAAACCTCTGCCACATCCTGCATACGACAGCGGATATGACATCCGTACTACATGTAGTAGTTGCCGCCTGTCAAAGAGCGTCGCCCTATCGCGGTACGATCGCGAACTTAAGGAATTCTTGGGATAGCGGTAAAAGTGTCCTGTAAAGTTCGACTGTCTTGCCACGGAAAACGGGCACTATCCTAGATCCTTGTCTGCGGTTTGTTCTGTCACATCCTGTCTGAAAATTCCAAGGCATCAAAATCGTTCGACGACCTTCTACGAAAGTTACCGCACCAAAAATGTGACTGTTTTTGATGTCCGTTCTATGGTCGCTATAGACAGATTGTTTTATCTGATTGTACATTGACTCCTATTGGTTGTGTATTACTTGTAAATCATGACTTGATCTCGGCTCAGACGAAGAACAACAACCAAGGCTAGGGTCACACTTGCGCACACTTGGAAGTCATCCAGAATACCTTAAATAGAGTGATAATATACAGACTCGTGGGTGGTACCTGGTGGCATGTTTACACACTAAGGTTACTGTAGGAAACAACGCGTACTGCTTCAAGCTTTGGTACATGTTTTCGACGGCGTCTGTGGGTTTTGTGGTTTGTGTCAGCATAACTGTAGAGGCTGCTGTCCGTGGTTTTGTGGTTGTAAGGATGATATGTGGTCTGTGGTAGGTGTCGACGCAACAAAGGACAAGCTGAATAACGGGCCACCTAGTTTGCTACTGCAGGAGACTAGTGTATCCAGAACCGTACTTTATCCAGGACCGTGCGTGCTTTATCCAGTACCATGCTCATGCTCGGTTCTGTGTAGTCGGCATGTATCCAGAACCTTGCTTTATCCAGAAGGACTATCCAGAACCATGCCCAGGCAGGGTTCTGGATAGTCCACGCGTATCCAGAACCGTGCCTGGGGCAAATCTACGTTCTTGGACACGCAGAGACTGTCCAAAACATTGCCTTATCCATTGAGCCATAGAAGTATGTATGGTTCTTGATGTCACGGAGACAGTGCGGAAAATGATTATGACGACGTCTCCAAGAACATTTGAATAAGAAGTGTGTTACTTCACTGTGTGTGAGGGTGGGGGTCTGTGGGTGTGTGCGTGGGTGTGAGTGTATGTGTGTGAAGCACGGTTATGAATACAAGAAGCGCTGAAGCTAGAGTACTAGTGTTACGCCCAAGGTCGGATAGAGCAGTTACACAGCGCAGCTGCTAAGCTTAGGACAAGAATAGATAAAAAGTAGGGCAAAGATGTGTTTACAAGAGGAGGGAAGTTGTTTACAACGGGGCACGACTGGGCTTGAACCACCTCCAAAAATGACATGCATCCACCAGATTCTCCACAGACGCACTGGTTTGCAAGAGGAGTTAGCCGGCCATAGAGTTGCTGATTGCAAATCCGCAGTGTTTGACCAGTAACCCATGCAGAGTGGTAAAAAAAAATCAGACCAATAATTGACATCCACCAATCTAAGGCCTGTATATTAACACAATGACTCTAAAATATCCCAACACACGATAGACAAGGTATAGATACAAAGTACAATTTAAGACAGAATGCTTCCATTAATGAGAATAATGAATTCTGCAGTTATTGCCATATTATCTGTCTGTTCCCGTGTCTCCAAGCAGTTGTAATGAGTTAAGTTTGCAAAGTTTTCTGACCGCAAAACTTTACTCAACTCCCTGGCACACATTGCCGACCATGGCCTCCCGACCGTCTCCCGACCGTCTCCCGACCACGGTTGAGAGTTAGTCGTGAGCAAGACTATCTGTGGTTGGCGGTTGGTCGGCAAGCTTGCCTTCTAGTCTTTACCAAAATTTACCCGAATCTACACCCAACATCTGCTTGGAGAGAGTAACAGCTCGAACTTGAACGTGACATGAGAACGTGGCCACAGTTGAGTGACGTGTTTGCGTGAACTATGAGATCTCAAGTTACAATAAAGCTGAGATCAGCTGGGCAAAAAGCAAGACTCGACACAACAACAGCAGACGAAGTCCTCGACTATGCAGTATTTTTCAACCGAACGTGGGACGGAATGTCCTAGTGCGCAGTATCAAGTAAGCACAAAACTGCACACTCCGTCCAAAATCAACAAAGCCACGAGCAAAGTCCGTGGAGCGTTCGGAAAACAAACATGATCGACTCAGGGTATAAAAACCCGTCCGCAATCACGGCGAGTTCTCATTCCAGCCCGAATACTCTACACAGACGGTTCGGCTGATACTGAGACACCATGAACAAGTTACTTCTCCTCCTTCTGGGGGCCTGCCTGACGCGTGAGTACTACTTTCATCTCTTGGGAATGAACTTGTCTGAAGTCCCTACAACCAATCATGAGCTACCAGACTATGGTCGGGAGTTGGTCGTGATCAAGATCATTTGTGGTTGGGAGATAGTCGGCGAGGTTGTCTGTAAAAGTCGTCTTTAAAAGTCTTGTGTGCCAGCCAACTATTAATTGTGGAAAATCAATGGAGTTTTTTAAATACTTTTTTATGATAGTGCGTTATCATAAGTTCATCTCTAGTAAGCCATGGCTGGTTTTGAAGTGTGTTCTTGACTTTCCGGAGACGAATGAATCTTGCCATCGTTGGTTGCCTTGTTTCAGTAGATACAGAAGCTATTAGTGGAGTTATTAGCCGAGTGGAGCTTCCTATCAGCATTACTCATCCACATACTTTTCCAAAAAGATTTTTTTTCGATAACTCATTTTCGTAAGTTCATCACCTTACCCTATACGGTTAACTTGATTTTGTTCGTCGCCTTCCTCTCAGCTAAGTTGGAAAGGATTAAATATTTCTCTTCCCAACTCTAACTTGAATCAGATTTACTTATTCATATATATTTTCTGAGGATTTGGCTGCTCTTGGCTGCTTTCGTAAATTCTGACGTCGATTTTTTTGCAGTTTAGACAATCGCGAATTGGTTGCAATCTAGGGCCCCAATCAACCAGTGAAGTTAAACTGTATACAACTTTCAAGATCATTAATCATTGGCACCAAAGATCATCCATGTCTTATAAATGCGAATCGAAAATTTCATTTTTTTATTAAAAAAAAACTTTGTTCGCAAAATCATGCCCGAAGGCTAATTGCTTTTACAATCAAGTATAATACTCATTACACAGTAACAGGAGACAGGTAACAACTGTCTGGGAAAAAACTTCTACTTCTACTACTACGCTAGCTATTGTGGGGTTCGACTTCTTCTTTGAAGGCAGTGGATAATGAATAGTCCCACATTCTGCATAATTAGTGGGTTTTGTGTTCTTAGTAGAAATGCAGTTTTATATATAACGATAGTCGGGTTACATCATCTGCAGCCCAGCACGAAAACAACAGACCAAGGACGGCGGTTATATATTAAGCACGAATTACATAAAGTTGAAAACAAGCCAAGAAATGCGCCGGATGCTGTTATGTCACTCCGCTAGGGATAATGTTGACTTTAAATGATGTAATTGTAAACGGCTGGGTGCATAACATAATCAGCCTGTGTCACAACTACGATATGGTCTTGGCAAGGACGCATTGTAGTTTTCCGCTATGGGTAATGTTGACTTTAAATGATGTAAACTTTAAGGTACCTAAAACTAGGATACGGCCTCGGCGGGCAATTGCGCAAGGACACGCTGTGTACTGCAAGAAAACAACAACAGAATCTGCTCTATAGAATAAACAATGTGAATTGCATGTAACCTGTCATGATGATACTGCAACCCACGATCGGCAACCCCACGTGATTGTAGCCCTCTTTGTTGCTACGTAGAACCCTACGACATTTTTTGTGCTTTGTATTTCTATTTTGTAGTTTGTAGTTGACCGTACGAAAGTTGCTCTACCTTTTCTTGCATAACAGTAGCGTAAATTGGAGGTTCACTTATATATAAACATACAGCTATAAGTATAGGTGAAGAAAGTAAACATCACTTTACATTAAACGCTAAGGCATTTTTTCGTCTTGAGCTTTAAAAACGTTTACGCTTTTTTTCCCCGCAGAGGCGACCATCAGATCAGAAGACCTTGCTGACAAGGGTAAGAATTATTTTTGTTCTCTGAGGACTTTTTGTTCTTTCCTACTGACGTCATTTGTTTTATCAGTGACTTTAATCAAGTTCACGATCAGGGTCACGATACTGGTATGTGTAAGGGTACGAAGTCCAAATGTTCGTATCAATATGACAATGTATTACATCTCCTAGTAGAGGTTTGTGCTCTGGCTTATTTTTAGCTTTTTTTTATCGGGCTTTCTTTTTTTTGTACTGCTTTTTTCCTGCCAGAGAAAAAAAAAGATACAAGTACAATAAAGAAAGCCCGAAAAAAAAAAGCCTAAAAATAAGCCAAATTAAAGCCCAAACCTCTGCTCAGAGAGTAACATCTGCTTGCCTGTTCAGTGTTTGGTCAGGGTCGGGCGAAGTTTCCGCAACGATTGTAGATTGGAGAAGAGACACGTGTTCCTCTTCAAATCTACAACATACGATATTGCCGCGAGAAAAACATCGTAGGGGCATCCACTACGATGGTTGTGACATGTGCTAAAGCTACAACTATTTTTCTTCCTCAGTGTTTGGTCAGGGTCGGGCCTACGGGTACAGGTACGAGGGAGAGATCATGTCCGGCATCCCGAAAACCTCCGACAGGTTCTCCGGCATGAGGATCGAGTGCGACGCGCGCCTGCAGTTCCAGACGGACGAGGTAACGTCATGACGTCATCACGCAAGCATATTCGTCATGACGTCATGGCGCAAGCATATTCGTCATGACGTCATGACGCAAGCATATTCGTCATGACGTCTGACGCAAGCATATTCGTGATGACGTCATGACTCAAGCATATTCGTAACGCCACGCACAAAACTAACGGAAGTTCGTTTAACCATCAATGCAACCGCTTTATCATTCGTATATTCATTACTTCATTATTCATACATTAATTAACACATTTGTCTGTCCATCCATCCATCCAATCCCTAACTCACTCACCCATTCATCCAGTCTTCTTAAGTCAATGAAGTCCATGCAGGCATGCATTCAATTATTCATTCATTCATCCATGCAATCACCTATCCATTCATTCATCTTTTCCTCACTCACTTATCCTCTTTCCTTCACTCTCTCACTCCTTCAATCTTTCACGCACCCATCCTTCACTCACCCACTCTTCACTCATTCACCCACTCACTCACACTCATCCTTCACTCATTCATCCTACATTCAATCCCTCTCACGCATCCTTCATTTACTCACTCACTCACTCACTCTCGCATCCCTTCTTCCTTACCCCCAGGAGATCCTGCTGCGTCTTGAGAACGTGAAGCTGAAGACGCTGCGCGGCGAGCTGGAGTCTCCTGAGGAGAAGGCGCTCAACAGGATCGTCAAGAAAACTTCCAAGGTCAGTTTCTGTATATCTCATTCCATAGGCGAGACCAAATCATCAATACATGACTATATTGTAACTCATATATTGTTATCGATAGTGATAATTGCAAGATAGTTTACTGGAGTTGTACAGTCGAAAATTTAGGTGAGTCCAATTTTTTGGGTTGGAAATTACAGTTTAAACTTGTTTCATAATAAACTTCTACCAACACAGTGAAGATAGTTTAGTTTTGTAGTATTGTTGTCTTACTGCTATACATTGTATCATGCACGATTGTCGAGCAATAAAGTTCATTCATTCATTCACCCATCCATCCATTCATTCATTCGCCAAAAAGCAGTTACTCAAGCAACTGGATATGACTTTGGAAAATCATATCCAGTTTGCAAATTTCAAAAATCATATCCAGTTTCCAAAATCATATCCAGTTTCTTGGCGTATCTTACTACCTGGATGTCTAACCTTCACCGACGCATTAATTCATCATGCATTCATTCATTTATTCATTCATCCATCATTCCAGGAGACTGCCCAGGAGCAGCAGCACCAGGACGCGTTCCGCCAGGACCTGTTCACGTCTTCCGCCGAGGAGTGGGACGCCAAGTCCATCCAGACGTCTTCCCAGGAGAGCCGAGAGACGCCCAGCATGGAGAGGCACCAGCAACAGAAGCAGCGCGAGGCGAGCAGGATCAAGGAACAGGTACAGACTCCTAAGGTTGTTATTAGCCTGACGGAGTAGCTAGGTTGATAGCACGTGGGTAGAAGGCCGACGAGGTTGACAGGAGACGCCCAGCATGGAGAGGCACCAGCAGCAGAAGCAGCGCTGTGCCATCAGGATCAAGGAGCAGGTACCGATTCTTAAAGATTGTATCAGGGTATTATTGTTTTGGGTGGCTGAGCTGTGATTATCCGTTAGTCCAGACGGAGTAGCTAGGTTGCTAGCTCGTGGGTAGAAGGCCGATCAGGTTGACAGGAGATACAGAGCATGGAGATGCACCAGCAACAGAAGAAGCGCGAGGCGAGCAGGATCAAGGAACAGGTACTGATTTTTTTTTCATTTTGAGACAGCCTCCTTCAACTAGCTGAAGATTCTGCTGCCCTTTTGTGGCCAATACGAGATGGGGTTCACCAGGCCTCCATCCAGGAAAGTCGTGTAAAGTGTAGGAGTAGGTTGACAACACGTGGGTAGGGTGAGGGCAGACTGACAGGCAGAATGACAGGAGGTATCAGAATCTGGTAACATATTACTTGTAATTAGCCTGCAGGCAAGAACTTGCAAACAAATTCCTAACATCTATCATCGTTACCTACAAACAGGGCCTCTCAAGCAGCCAGCTGCCCGGCCAAGGGCTCGAGCTCGAAGTCCGTGCAATGTTGCAATAACCTTTCTAACATCTATTATCCTTACTTATCACAAAAGACGTCCTCTTAGCAGCATGGTCGCTCCAACAGCCGCCGTCCTTTTTCTAAATGCTACAATGTACTGTTCACGACCCAGTCTCTGCCTTCGAGAGGAGACGCAGAACTGCCCTCGTAGAGAAACGTAGAAAGAGGAAGAACTATACCGTCACGGCTCCAACACCAGACCCGTCATTTACCTGCAGCCACTGTGGTCGAGTATGCCGGTCACGCATCGGACTTGTAAGCCACCAGCGGGCGTGCAGCATTCAGGAGAGGGAAGGGCCCCTGACAATCTTGGGATACGAAGCCAAGCCAAGATCAGAAAAGAGACAATGTACTTGCAATCAACCTCCGGGCAAGAACTCGCAAAGAAAATTTCTAACACCTATTTTCCTTCCAACAGAAGACGTCCTCTGAGCAGCAGGGTCGCACCAGCAGCCGTCAGTCTTCTGTGACTGACATGCCAAAGAAGAGAATCTCGAAGAAGTTTCCGTCCTTTCCATGTTACGTTGTAATTGCAATTAGCCTTCGGGCAAGAAAATTTCTCTAACACGTACTGTCCTTCCAACAGAAGACGTCGGCCGAGCAGCAGGGTCGCACCAGCAGCCAGGGGAGCTCGGAGTCGGTTTCTCGGGAGGAGAGCGAGGAGGTTCCCGCCGATGAGCTGGCGGAGCTACGGCGCCAGCTGGAGAAGCCCGTGCTGGTGGTGTACAGACAGGGCCGCGTGGAGAGCATCCGGGGCCAGAAGGACGAGCCCCAGTGGTCCGTCAACATCAAGCGCGGCGTCATCAACCTGTTCCAGGTAACTACAGGAACAGTACTTCTCGTTATCATCGTTTGTTGAAACCCCTATATATAAGGTTCGGTTGGTCGGCGAGGTTGTCTAGTAGTCTCGAAACGTCTGTGTCAGTCGATTATTCATAAAAAAGGCATTTAAGAGACTAAATCTAGGTACACATTTACTCCTAGTCAACAACCCTAACCATGAAGCCCACTTTGTTGAAGCCCATGGACAACGATGGATTTTCAAACCAGCACCGACCATAGTTGGGGTTTGATCAAGATCAAAGTCTTGGGAAGGTCTGACAGGGGTTAAAATGTGTGACAGGGGTTTAAATTGTTGCATCAGACAATGACCAACCTAAATTCATCGTTGTTCCCTTCCTACAGTGCACCCGTAACCCCAAGAACTCCGAGATGTTGGACAAGGACGGGCGGGAGGAGACCAACGTCGCGTTCGACAAGTCTCCAGAGAGGTGTGTTCGTTTGTCTAGTTTCAAGCTAAGCATACCTAACTTACTAGGAACATGGAGGTAGTCTTTTAACTCCATGCTAGGAATATGTAAGACTGGTCTGAGACCTGCTTTTTTCAGGTGTCATGAATATACCTTAAGAAATGAGACGGCAAAGAACTTAACACAGCGACAAGACGTGACATTGAATATTGACGTTGACCTTGTCATTGCAGCCAACCAACCTCTCGCTCTAGAAATTATCATTTGGATGTTTTTTCAGTATCTCCCAATGGCCTCGAAGGTCTTCAATGACTGTCAGTGCTCTTAGGCTGTCAAATGTCTTGTGAAAATGGAGATGGGAGTTGAGGGGTATTGTATCTAGAACCGCGCCGATCTCGGTCTATGCCTGAAAGGGTTAGGATCAGGCACAGATCTGGATAGTCTCTGCATATTCAAGAAAGTAGATTTACCCCAGACACTGTAACAGTTAAGGATACGTGCGGACTATCCTGGAATCGTGCCCGAGCATGATACTGGATAAAGCAGGTCTGACTGGAACGAGCCCTTCTGCATATGTGCACTTACTACAGGTTCATCTATTTACATATGTTTTGCCTATGCATTTCTGCAGGTTGTTCCGTATCATGGAGGAGGACGTGAGCGGCCAGTGCGAGACGCAGTACCTGGTCCAGGACAGCCGGAAGGAGAAGGGCGTGCAGGTCGTCACCAAGACCAAGGACTTCCAGAACTGCAGGGAGAGGCCTCAGCAGCAGCGCTCCTTCATCAGCGGCAAGAAGGTCGGCAAGGTGAGCGGGAAAACGTCTTAAGTTTGTTCTAAGACATCTGACTCTGTAACCTCCGTGGTTAGAGGCCACATCCAGTTGAAAGTTGGTCTGTATGTATCTTTCGGACAGAGTAAGTTGACGAGCAAATGGCAGGAGGTCTAAAGGTAAGACACAGGAAATGGGAGGTCACCCTATGGAAGACATAAAATGCTGCCTGGAAGTCTGAAGTATCAGAGATTTCTTGTTTAGGTTTGGATGAGAAGCAGATTGTTCATTTGCACTCCGTTTAGCTTACTAACACTATGCGTTGCCTAGCTCAAGAAGACAAAGCTGTCTAGTCATGAGAGGAACACCATCTTTTCTTGGGCTCACTGCTAATGATAATTCTGAATTTTCAAGTAATAAGCCGTTTTCTGACTTCCTTATTTTTGCCACAGACCGAGAAGGAGGAGCACCTTCAGTCCACGGTTGAGACGCGCCAGCGCCTGGTGACGGACCGCAGCAGCAGCGGCAAGTTCCTGATCCAGCGCGCAGAGTCACGTGGTCAGCACGTCTTCCAGCCTTACTCCGAGCAGGGCGGGGATGTCATCACCTTCGCCAAGTAAGTAACGTCTTCAGAAATCCATCCTTATTCTTCAGTCCCTTGATCTTGACTGTATCTGTACTGCACAGCAGTTTCTCTGTAACATGTACTGTAGCACAAATGTGGCAAGGTTGTCATGCCTGTTGAATCTGAAGGTTCTGGCCTCGAATCCCTGGGAGAGGAACGGATCTAAGTCACGTTTTGCACAACTTTTGATCACAATTTGCATGTGTGTAGATGGAAAGTTATTTCAGATCAATATGTACAGTAGCTCTGTTTGACAAAGATCTCTCTCCCTAAAGGTTATGGCTAGACCTTTACCTTTTCCCTGGCAAAGATGTTTTTGAACATTTCCTGAAAGCAGATTCTGGATATGATCATTGAGGTCCTTAGAAATTATCTCTGTTTGACATGGCTTTAAATGACGTTTGGCATGACTTTTTAGTGTGATTTACACGCATGCGGTTGGAATGTAGCTCAGTTTGACAAAAAGATGTCTCTGCATGGTTTTCCCACAGGCAGATTCTGGAGCTGATCGAGGCCAAGCCTAATTGAAGTCCTTAGACTTAGAAATGAGCTGTGTTTGACAAAGACGTTATTGGAACGTTTCTCACAGGCAGACCCTTGAGCTGATCGAGGCCACGACGACAATCCCAGATCCAAAGATCCCCGAGCCGCTGCAGCCTGAGGAGAAGGGCAAACTGATGTTTGTGTTCGAGAAGAAAACTCCCCAGCCCGGCAGCAGCCAGGAGAGCCGCGAGAGCACCGAGCAGAGCAAGGAGGTCACCCAGCAGAAGGTGGATGGCTCTTTTTTTATCCATCAAGACATCAAAACATAACAAGGACAGTGTGGCGCTGCACTCAAGCTTATAACTAATAAAATAGCCAAAAAAGCACAATTAACATTTAAATGCTAATGCTAACAAATTTATTTGAAAATTAAGATTACATGTATCTTGAGATGCTGTTCCTGTGTAGGTGACTCAACTGTGTGAAGGCATTGTTTGGGGAGTGCGGAAGACCATCACCAAAGACAAGTACTAGAAGTATACTTTTCTGTGGGCCAGATGATGTTTGATATAGCTTTTACATTTAATAAACCGAATCTTACTAACCTGTTCCTGTGCAGGTTACCCAGCTGTGTGAGGGCATTGCCCGCGGAGTGCGTGAGACCATCACCGAAGAAACGCCCAAACAGATCATCCAGCTCATCACCGAGCTGCGCAAGATGGACAAGCAGCAGCTCAAGCAGTTCTGCCTGGAGAAGATCCCCAAGACCACACCGGTTAGACGTCTTATATTACATATGCATATTTATTATTTATTCATTTTTATTTTTATTTAATCTTCAATGACACCTGGGTAGCTCCTTCAGCCAATAGCTGATTTCCAAGGAGGCCCAGGGGGAATACAATATGTAAATTTTATAAAATAGATTATACAAAGAACATAACAAAAGATGTAAATGAAATCAGTATAACTGAAAGTTATACATAAATAAATGAATAATACGACATGAACTGAGGGAATTTACAAAAAATATAACTTGTATATTATATACCTTCTCAATGCTATTTGGAATAATGCACTTAGATGTTTATATAATACATATTGTATTAACTGCCTCAAACTAGTGTCACGGAAATGAAAAGTAACCTACAGTGGGTGTCACTGGAAGACAGTTAAGAAAAATGTCCAGAGTGACTATGCATGATGTACAAAATGACTAATAAACTGGTGGACGTCCCAATTACTAAGTACCTAATACCAGCCCAGAAGAGAACAAGAAATAGCCATGCCTTCAAGTTCCAGATTTATCTACCAAGGATTGAGGTGTTCAAGAATTCATTCTTTCCTGGAACTATGGTAGAGTGGAACTTGCTGTCACCAAGTACAGTTGGGGCATTGACATTAGATAGCTAAGTGTTAAGGTGCAATTGCCAAGTGCAAGAATACGCAATAAAGATGGCTTTTTCCCTATCAGACCCCGAAGACCAGTCAGGAGAAGGCACAGTCTGAGACCCGCAAACTCATGATCGACGCCGTGTCCATGGCCGGCACTGAGGAGGCTCTCAAGGTGGTTAAGGAGCTACTGGAGGAGAACAAGATAACACAGGAGGATGCACAGACCCTGATAGCCGGTCTGTCCGTGTCCATAAACCCCTGCACAGCCACTGCCACCCGCCTCATGCTGGTAAGTACACGTTCTGTCATGTACATGTAGGCCTCCATCCAAAATATGAAATGCTATAAAAATGAGTAGCGATATAGCCCAACTGTGAATTGTTTCTTAGTTGCCCAAGTTACAATACAGAATGTCATAAGAGAATTTCAAACCATGAACCCTGTAAAGAGGCTATCCTCTTGTCTTAATGGCAAACCATGCAAATATAAAGCTGCTATCATGATTAAAATTAGCCTCTACCAGGCTTCAGGGTGGACTGGAAAGAAACGTACAAATTGGCCAATAGACAGATAACATTTTGCAGGGGAGCTGGTCCATCAAAGAAGTACAGTTTGTTCACGGCTTTTTTATAACTTTCAGTCATAAATTGACTCAAAAAGCATCTTCATCTGATCTTCTTCCACCGAGCAACGTCACTCTGGAACACTCTTTCCACTGACGCTCGCACTGTCACTGTCTATTGCCTCCTTCAAAAGGAAGCTATGGGACTCTCTAGGCGACCCCTATATTAGCCTTAGGTGTGTGACCCTGATAAATGAATAAAAATAAAATCTGATCTGTTTTTTTGTGTGTGTGTGTGTGTGTTATCCAGGAAATTGCGAAGTCCCCCAAGGCGCAGCAGAACCCTAACCTGCGTAAGGTGTGCTGGCTGGCGTTTGGCACCATGGTGCACAAGTTCACCAAGACACAGCCTCAGGAGGCCGCCGAGCTCATACAGATCAAGAGGGAGTACGCCAAGGTATGGAACTTGTTTACAACATCGCATTGTGGTGGGGACATTTCCTCTGTAGCTGTATGTGGCTTGGGAAGCTTTATTATGTAGGACATGACCAGAGTCCTATTGGGGACCTTGTGGCATATCAATGCATATTATCATATAGCCGGGTGACGTTGACCAATCAGAAGGCTCCATTCCACATTCTTTATGACGCCGTAATGTCACAAATAGAGTCAAAATCGGGTATTTGTTCATTCCAATCCATACATTAAACAAAATGAATAATCACCCGCATATGACCTCAGGTGACCCAATAGAACACGGCTCTACTTCTAAAAAATCCAAAAATAACTTGAGTTGTGTTCCAATGACTCCCATAAGAGCACCTGTTCCCTGCCTGTGACACACCATATTCACCTCGGGGCGGGTCATTAAACCTTAATTAATGCATCACCCCAATAGAGGGGTGTTACACAGTGACTTTTCAAGATCAAGAACAGGATGAAGATCAAGGCTTTCTTTAAATAGATTACTCATACTGTATGGCGCTGTATTTAGCAAGACCATTCTCCATGTTTCCTGTTAGGAGTAAGTGCCATGAATCAAAGCTGTTGTGCTTGAGTCTGAACCCTCAAAGAGATAACAGCTGGTTTCTTCATTAAACGTCCAAAAATCTTAGATTCTTGTCAGTGGTTAGTTCTGTCCCAGCCAGCTTGGAACTTCTACAAGACATCAAGATCGTTCGACGACATGTGACATTGTAAGCTTCCTGCTTGGCTTAGGTCCTTAAACCAAGAGATAAAAATGTCTCCTCTTTTGTTTCTCTCTTCTGTTCAGCAACTTCTGGCCGGCATCAAGCCCGAGAAGACAGCTGAGGAGAAGATGATGTGCCTGAAGGCGATCGGGAACGCTGGGCTGGAGGACTCTGTCGACAGTCTGGTGGAGATAATCTCCGGAAAGGACGCCAAGACAACCCCCACCGAGATCAGACTGCAGGCCATCTACGCTCTGCGTAGGATCGCCAAGAAACAGCCTCACAAGGTGAGCAGACCTGCAGTATCTGGGGAGTTCTTTGTTTTTGTAGTCTGATAGTAGTGAATGATTGTGTGAATGAATGATGAATGAGTGATTAGATGTATTCATCGATGAAATTGAAGGGGTGAATGAATGAGTAACATCACTTCATGGAAATATCAGCTACATCATGAAAAATACAAAATAGGACTTTCAAAGTACCCTTTTGCTTCAGTCTATCTTCGACAACAAAGCTAAGTCAAGATCCTTCAGTCACTAGATGTCAGTAAGGGGCAAGGGATTTTCAAGATCTACTCCATCAGTACAATAGGGAGATGAACTCTGCCCAAATGTAAAATAAAATCCCCCAACGGCAAGTGACATCAAAAGTAGAGGACTGGTGTTGTTATCCACAGTTTCCAGTCTTGACATGGAATAATTTCCCATTTTAATGTTTTCCCCCTCCAGACCCGTAACATCCTGTTCCCAGTGTTTAAGAACCCAGAGAACCCGGCCGAGGAGCGTATCGCTGCCTTCATCGGCCTGATGGACTCTGAGCCGCAGGCTTCAGTCCTGGAGCTGGTCGCCCAGTCTACACAGAGGGAGACATCCAACCAGGTTTGTTTGTTTGTTTGTTTGTTTATTTGGTCAGACTACAATCCACAGGCTTCATTTCAATCTGATTACATAGTCTATACAGAGGGAAACCTCCAATCAGCTTTGTTGGTTTGGTCAGATCTGAGCCCGAGACCTGACGAAAGTCGCTGTACTGTTGTTGTGTTGATCAAGATAAAAAGATATAAAAGATCTTGGAATCTCAGCAAATGAATTTAACCAGAACCTTACTATCTGGTCTCAGGCTTGCCATCTTTGAAGATGATATTATAATAGCAGTCCTTCCACAAATGTGGTAAATCTTACATAAAAAAATTCCCTCCCCTCCTGCAGGTTGGTCGGTTTGTGTACACCCACCTGAGGAGCTGTGCGAGGAGCCGCATGCCGCGCGACCAGAAGACACGTCTGGGCTGCGAGCGGGCACTCAGGCTCTGCAGACCATTCAACCTCGGGATACAGTACTCACAGAGCGAGAAGTTCCAGGCTATGGACGGTAAGGATTCTTCATTGTCTTTCATTCATTCATTCACTCATTCATTGATTCCTACTCTCACTCAGAGATGGAAGGGTATAGCTAGTTAGGCATCTTTTATCTGTTCATTCATTTAGTCATTCATTCATTTATTCATTCATCCAGTACTGTGAAAAGCAACAGGTTGATCCATCTATACTTGATCCATCTTCATTCATTCAGTCAGTCAGTGAGCCTCATGAAACAATGACATCCATTCATCAGTTATTCATTCATCCATCCATTCATCAGTTATTCATTCATCCATTCATTCATCAGTTATTCACACACTCATTCATTCACTTCCATTCCCTCCATCATTCATTCATGAATTGTTCTATCATCCATCCATTCACTCCCTCAATCGTTCATTCACCCTTCCCTACAGATGAGATGAAGATGGGAGCCTCTGTTGCGCTGCAGACCATCGCTGACAAGCGGTCTGTGTTTCCTCGCGCGGCCACGGCTAAGCTGAGTGTACAGGCTATGGGCTACAGCATCAACCTGCTGGAGACTGGCGTCAGGGCCTCGGGGATGCAGACCATGGTGGACTCTCTCTACAGGTAAGGTCTAATCATTACCTCTCTACGCTCTCTCTCGCTCTCTCCCTCCCTCTCTTGTTCGCTTTCTCCCTCTCTTGCTCTCTCCCTTTCTCCCTCTCTCACTTGCTCTCTCCATCCCTCTCTCGCTTGCTCTCTCCCCCCCTCTCTTACTTGCTCTCTCCCTCTCTTTTGCTCGCTTTCTCCATCTCTCTTTCACTCTCTCTCTTGACCTGGCTTCGTTCTTGAAGATTCAAGTCTCTCTCGCCCTTCCTCCCTCTGTCTCTCTCCCTCTCCCTCTCTCTCAGACAAAACATGCCACATAGTACTAATTTTCCTCCCTCATGTATTATGCATATACAGGCAGTGGGAGGATGGAAAGGGCGTGATGCACTACCTGAAGAAGAAGAGCCAGGAGACCAGCCGGGAGTACCACGATTCCGCCAGCGCCCAGAGCACCGAGAGGCAGCGCACACTCAGGAACATCGAGGCCGAGAAGATACAGAGCAAGGTAAGGGTGCATCTATCATGAACCAGCCTAGGGCATTCTTGTAATACCAGTGCATGTGCCATATAACCTTCAGCACAGAGAGACAGGACCCTCAGGAACATCAAAGCCGAGAAGATCCAGAGCAAGGTACTATTTTCCCGTTTAGAACATTTCTTTAGCCTGTATTAGAAGCACTGTTTATTACACATACACAAAGGGCCCAATACTATCAACAACCAGCCTAGGGCATTCTTGTTATAGCACTCATGGTGCATGTGCCCCATAACCTTTAGCACAGAGAGGTAGCGGATACTCAGGAACATTGAGGCTGAGAAGATCCAGAGCAAGGTACATGTACGTAAGGGACCAGTCACTATCAGAAACTGAGGACAACCTTGTGATATCAGAGAATGTCATGTATAAAGTGCAGTTGTCTTGTTACAGAAAAGGCTGTCATGTTACCAAAGAGGTGCCAATGCCATATGCATCAAGACAGTGTGAAATCTGCTGCTTTCATTTCTGTGATGGTTGCTTCAAAGTTTATGCTAGATTGATATGTCTAACTCATGAAACTATGTTTAGGGATTTGACTTCAGGTCCTTCTAAAAGTGGAGCAAACTTGCATCTGTATTAGTCAAACAGTGTTCACTTGATGATGATGGACTATTTGGAAACCCTAAACCGAACATGATAAAAATGCATTTTGCAGTATATAGTAGAGGGGATTCATTCCTCAAGCTACCGACATCTTGCACACGCAGTCGTCCCTCAGTAAGACATCTGG